GAGAGAGAGAGAGAATAAGAGAGAGAGAGAGAGGGCTGAAGTGTGTATATAAATTGGGAGGGGTGGGGGGTTCCCCCCTCTTTATATAGGCCTTAAGGTGCCTAGGGTGTTCCAATCAAATGAGGATTCAACATTATCCAAAAAATATTTAGATAATCTGTCAGGCGAGAGAGAAATAATTTGAGCCATCCATCCTTGAAATTGGCCATCATGATTTAGGGAGAATTTCAAGAACCTTTTCCCCTGAATTTTTTGATCCATATCCATTTCTAGATAAGACTTCTATTTTAATTTGAATTCTGGTCAAAGTAGGAATCCTAGTCCACGTAGGAATCCTAATCCAAATAAGACTCCTAATGCAATTAGAACTTTTTAAACAAATAATATTTTATTACGATTTCTCATTAAATTGGAGCCCTAGTCCAGATAGAAATCCTAGTCTAAATAGGATTTATAATACAATTTGGACGCCTCAAATAATAAAATAATAGTTTAAATTTAATTAAGGGTGTCCCACTTTGTGTGTGGGACATGTGGCCCTTGTGGGTCACACTTCCCACCCTATGTGGCCTACCCACATATGGGAGTTGGGCCCTTGGCTCCCTACGCGGATCCCACATAAAAATCAAGCCCCTTACTAAATTGTAAAATATCAAATTTTCCCTTTTTAGATTTCACCTCATAAATAAATTTTTTCAAAAATTTCTTAAAAAAAAGCACGTAATCATAATTAAAGCTGAAAAAGAATATTTATGAGGTTCTTAAGAATTCTCAAAACACTTATGAATACATCTAGAAGTGAATTGGTACTAATGAGTTAAGAAAAGTAACTGTCAGGCTACTCCAACGAGGAAGAAACCATGATCCACAACTATCTTATCAGAACAACCCAACGGAACCCATGACCCACAATCATGCGCAGGGGCTTGTGATTGGCCTGTCAAAGCTGACTAGTAAATAGATACCGATACATGGAATACAGGTTCCCTCTTAAGAGCTAGTCAAATGCATGTATCACTATAGAGCAATGGAACTATCTCCATGCACATGTACAAGCATCCCTTTATAGGGTTGCTTCCTAAAAATGTGTTATCATATGTACATATTGTGTGGAAGTTCTTTTGAGGATTTGACCTTTGTTCTCACAGGCTTATATCTGCACACAGGAGACCACAAAGCTTTCATGTCCAAGAGCCCTTTCCCTTGGGCGTAGGCACTATTGTTAAGGGTTTCTAGAGGGTCATCCTTTGTTAATGTCAGAAAGATGATTAAATTAGGAGTTCTAGTTCAAGTAGGAATCCTAATTCAAATAATATTCGTACTACAATTTGGGTTTTTTAAATAAATAATATTTTATTATAAGTTCTGATCAGACGTGGAATCTATTCCAAGTAAGAATCCTAATCCAAATAGGAATCCTAATACAATTAGGACTCTTTAAACAAATAATTGTATTAGGAGTCCTATTTGGATTAGGATTCATACTTGCATTAGAATTCATAATCTAATTAGAACTTGTAATAAAATATTTTTTGTTTAAAGAATCCTAATTGCATGAGGAATTATATTTGAATTATGATTCTTACTTGGACTAGGACTTCTACTGCGATCAGAAAATTGAAATAAAATTCTATCTTATCTAGAAGTGGATATGGGTCCAAAGATTTAGGGGATAAGGTTCCTAAGATTCTCCCTATATCATGATGGCTGATTTCAGAGATGAATGATTCAGATTATTTTTCTCACCTTACATATTATCTAAATATTTAATGTTGAATCCTGATCTGATTGGAACACCCTAGGCCTCTTAAGGCCTATATAAGGTCGGAAACCACCCCCCCCTCCCATCTGCAAACACACTTTAGCCCTCTCTCTCTCTC